CTCAGATATGCAGATGATACCACTCTCATGGCAGAAAGTGAAGATGAACTAAAGAGCCTCTTGATGCGGGTGAAGGAGCAGAGTGCAAAAGTTGGCTTGAAACTCAACATTAAGAAAACTAAGATTATGGCATCTGGTCCTCTCACTTCCTAGCAAATAGATGGGGAAGAAATGGAGGTAGTGACAGATTTTATTTTCCTGGGCTCCAAGATCACCATAGATGGTGACTGCAGCCAAGAAATTAAAAGACGCTTGCTCCTGGGAAGGAAAGCTATGGCAAATCTAGACAGCATACTAAAAAGCAGAGACATCACCCTGCCAACAAATTGCGTATAGTCAAGGCTATGGTTTTCCCAGTTGCAATGTATGGCTGTGAAAGCTGGAGCATAAGGAAGGCTGAGCGCCAAAGGATTGAGGCCTTTGAATTGTGCTGGAGGAGACTCCTGCGAATCCCTTGGACTGCAAGACGATCAAACCAGTCAGTCCTAGAGATCAACCATGACTGCTCTTTAGAAGGCCAGATCCTGAAGATGAAAATCAAATACTTTGGCCACCTAATGAGAAGGAAGGACTCCCTGGAGAAGAGCCTAATGCTGGGAACAATAAATGGCAAAAGAAGAAGGGGACGGCAGAGGATGAAGTGGCTAGATGGAGTCACTGAAGCAGTTGGTGTGAGCTTAAGTGGACTCCGGGGGATGGTGGAGGACAGAAAGGCCTGGAGGAATGTTACCCATGGGGTCGTGATGGGTCGGACATTTCTTCGCGACTAACAACAACAACAATTAGTATTCTGTTTCAAAAGGGCAGGGCTAAGTAGCCCAGTTCTGTCATCTTCTATGTCTTATACCATCTCATATGCTTTTCGCAACAAAATTTCTCTATCAGAACAAATCTAAAGTAATTAAAATGATCAAAGCAATTCTCCCTGCAGATCAATAGCCATACATAGTTACTGTTTTGCTTCCATTTTTATGTGGGGATAGCCCAAATTAGGCCTGGTTTGCAATCTGTGTATTCTGGAGAAAGCTTTATTGTGCCATCACTCCATCTCATTCATGGATGCTTATCCATGTTTATGTATCAAGCCATTGTCATTTTCCATTTGAAAGTCTATTTTGTTTCACCACTCCTTTTATATATGAGGGAGAAAAAGACAGGCAAACACTGCACAATGGTTTCTGACTGGTAGCCCTAGGATCCCTGCATCTGGAAGTACCTGGGTGAATGAGCTGGCATTAGATATTGGCCTATGACTGATAATACCATTCCTTCCTCTTTATTTTAACCTACTCTCTATTTCTCCTTCTATCAGCCATTATGCTAGTTACTCACAGGTATTTAAACCTTGCCTTACATATTCTCTTTGAAAGAAATGAAAGCTAAGGACAATGAGCTCTTAGCTATAGTGGCTCCAGAACTTCAAACAAGAGGAAGAGTTGTTTTCAGTATGGATGTAAGACTTAAAACAGTGATAATCAGTTGTAATGTCTGGGCTTGTTTTTATTACTATTTCCTGGTTTGTTCTATGACCTTTTGTTTTTTAAACGGTCCACATCATAAAATTAAGCATTTTATATAAAATCTGTGGAAATAGAATCATACAGTTGGAAGGGACTATTTAAGTCATTGAGTCCAATCACTTGCTTGGTGCAGGAATCCACTTTAAAGCATCCCTGACAGATGGTTCTCCAGTCTCTGAATACCTTGATCTACTGAGAGTCCACTTGCTCTATAGGCAGTTAGCTCCATTGTTTGACTCTGTTTTTACTGATTCAACTGAAATCTGCTTTCCTATAACGTAAACTCATTGTTTCTTGTCCTACAATATTGGATGATAAAGGAATAGGGTGCACGCCTATTCTTCATGGCAACCCTATCATATGCCCCTGAAGTTCCGCCATTTCAAAGATAAACATGCCCAGTTCCTTCAGTTTTGCCTCACAGGTCTTTGTTTTAGCCTCTAATAACCTTTGTTGCCCCTATCTCTAAACGCTCTTATTATCTGAATTCCTTTTCAATCGTATTGCTCAGAACTAAACGCAGTATCCAAGGCAAGGTCCGACAACTACAGAGTAGTACATTCCATGATTTACATATTACATTTCTATTGATACAATATAACATTGCATTAACCTTTCTAATAGTAGTAGTACCACCTTGTGATTCATAGTCAGCTTGGAACGATTGCAACTCCACAGTCCTCACACACAGTATTGCCAAACCAAGATATTTCCATCTGTCCATGTGACTAAATTGGCAAGCCTAGGACTCTCTTTGCTGCTTATTTGTTGAACTTTTTGTAACTTTCCCCTTCAGTCGACCCACCGGCATTTCGAAGAGAGTCATGCCGATGCCCTTTCCCTTTTCTTCCTTCTGGACTTAACCTGAGAGATGGCTTTGCTGCCACTCTATGGCCGGACTCTATGGTCCCTCGCCCCGCCTTCCTTGTGACTTACCCGTCGTGCACTGCGGCGGAAGAGAGTGACGACAATAACAAACAGCGGCGGTGAGGGTTGAGCGTCAGCGAGTGGGGGGCCTTCCTCTGCGAGAAGAGCTGGTCTCCCGAGCCGGTCTCCCCACTTCTCCGCTTGTCAAAAGGCTCGCCGTCCGGGTCCACTGCTGTTGGGGCTGCTGCACCTCACTGTCCCTTCTGGACGGCGGAACCCGAAGCTGCCTCTGTGGAGCCGCAGCGGAGGGGAGGAGCTTCCGCGGCCGCCGGTCACCGGCCCGGGATGGTTCGCGGGGCCGTCCAGCTGTTGCTTCGGCGGCTGTTGTGGCCTTCTTTGGGTGAGTCGCGGCAGGCGGGCGCCTCGAAGGCAGCTGCTGTCACCGAGGCGACCAGCGCCCGCCCTCACGGAATGGGCAGGCGCCGGGTGACAGTGGCGGCCCACTTTGGGTTGCTGGGTGGTCGTGTTTGGGTGTCGGTGGAAGGGGAAGCCTTTTGCCGACGAAGGGTCTCCCTGTGTGAAAGAGCCCAGCGGCGTCGGACTAAAAGCCCAGCCTCATCTAACTACCCCAATCTCCTCCCTCACGTAGCTTGCTCAGAGGGGGACGGACGAGTCTCTTCTTGAAGTTAACTTCAAGGGGAATGACTCAGCCCATCCGCACGTTGGCAGTCCCGTCACAGCAAGCACCTTGTTATTGTGAAAAGCAGGCAACGTGGTTTTAGGGTAGTGGTTGTTTTCCCCTTTTCTATACGCCGCGCTATCTGATTTAAAGTCTTAATTTTAACAGAGGTTTATGCGGAGTTCTTGGTCTTCTTTCCTCCAAACTTTTCTTTTTATGTTTATCCATTTTGCATTGAAAACTCTTTGCAAGTAACTCCCAACTCTCTCCCGATCTGTATTGTCTTGTGCTTCAAGCAGCTTTGGCCTAAATTGACCTCTTTGTTCGCTTGCTTTGGTTGTATTTAAAGCTTGCCGACAGCACACACAGATAAGATCTGTTTACGGTTTTGTCTCTGTTGGCAAAATATACTGTTTCTTTTGTTTTACTCAGATGTTGTAGACATCTGAAAATTAAAAGTTTAGTTGACAGAGAAAATAAGTAGCATAGAAGATTTATATGCTTCATGACCCTTGTGTATTAGCCACTGTAGCTCTGTTTGACTTGTTCATTGGAGCTAGTTTAGGTGAAATCCCAGGTTTTTTTAGGATTCTATAAATCATTCTGCTGAAAAATAGAAATTGTTTGGGTTTCTCTCTGAGATAGTTGTTTTTGTCTTCAACAAGTTTTGACACTGATTTTACAAAACCTTGCTTGTATCCCTAATTTTCAGTCTTAGAGATACATCAGGTCACAGATGTGGAATGTTAAAAAGCCTTCTCAGCCAGTGTTAAGAATTATATTGACTTGCTGGACGTGTCATATATGGTGTGCTGCTCGAATTAATTCCACAGTATTTATATACTTTTTTTAGCTGACAAATATTTGTCTATCTAACCAATTAGTTTAATCCATCCAATTTGTATTTTAAAGAGTTGTTACATCATTTCAATAAGTTTTGGGTTAAATGTCCTTAGAAATGAATCGTTCTGTAGTGTGTCATGAGTAATAGTCACACTGTTTTTCAAAGGATAATAAGTCAATGTTTTCCTCAGTGCAGTATTGTAATCGTAATTATGCCTGTGGTGTGTTTGGGTAATTAAAAAACAATCTAGGCCAATCACTGTCATATGCATACCTTTCTATTCTAGTGTAGGCTAGTGTAGAGGAATTGTGTAACTATTTGTCATTGTTTCAGCAGTCAGTGAGTCTTCTATTAACAGATATTTGGGGCAAAGGAAGCATTGAAATATGTCTTGATCAATGTATTTTGGGAACCAGGTAATTGTGATTACACTGTGTTTTTGATCAGTGCTTTTATTATTTTTGCATTGTAGTAGAAATTACTTTAATAAATAATAGGGTTCTCCGGATGTGTAAGGATCTTAACCTTAAACACTCAAAGAGCCATTTGGACCCATTTCCCATAGAAAAGAAAACACTGGGAGCCACAAAACCCTTTTGACATGTGCAATGAAGATAATACTGCATATATCATTTTTTACCTAAAAAACCCCCAGACTGGTAAACCAGTCCCATCAGCAGTGAAAGCACATGAATCTGCCCACATACCATTAAACATTCTGTTTTCTTCTGAAACTTTTCTTTTCTTGGATTTACCCATAGTTGACCCACCGGGGGGTCGAAAAGCTCAATAAATCACGTGCTGGCAGGTGTTGCACATTAGCAGTTGTGGTGCATATTTTGTGTGACAGGGAGCCGCTGTAGAGAGATGAAAGAGCCACATGTGGCTCCAGAGCTGCGGGTTGCTGACCCCTGTGTTAGACTATAACTTCCATCCTCCACATCCAATATGGCTAGTGGGCAGTGACCTTGGAAATGATAATCAAAAAGTAACTTCCCCAAAGTTGGGGAAGGTTAATTATGCTGTTCCTTTCATGCTTATTAGTGCCAGTAATTATTTAATGAATCATTATGGATTGTATACATGGGTTTCTTTCATGCGTTTAATTCACTGATGGATGTTTTCATCCAAGGCATTGTTATATCTATAAGAGCTCTTGGGATGTTTCACATATCTAGCATAGACAAAAACTGTAATCCTATGCTCACTTTTCTGTGAGTAAGTCTTATTGAACTCTGTGAGACTTTCTTCTGAGTAGAGATGTATAAGATAGTACTGTGACTCTCATAGGTGACACATTTTCTAGTTAAAATATATTTCTGAATGGCAGCATGAGAGTTGAGGATTACATGTAAGTGTAACATTACTCAATCTAAATTGTGTTTGCATGGGAATGGAAAAAAACTCCATTAATTTAAGCATCCCTGCAAATCTTCGTTATTGATAATATTCTTTCTTTGTAGCATTGATAACATTCTGAGCACTTCTTTGCTAATCTTCACAACAGTTTTATATATAGGCTGTTGGCTACAAAATACAAACACACTGCAGGTGAGAAAATACTGATTTTCTCAAGATCATCAAATGAATCTTTGCTCACAGACTTTGAAATTGGTTCCCCACAGTTCCAGTTCTGTCTGTTGGACCATGTTCACCCTACATAATGGAGCATAGTCATCTGGAATATGCTCAGTTTTCTTTGTTCTTACTTAAAGTGATATTAACATTCTATTACTGGAGGAAAAATGACATTCCTAAGCCCCAGAATCATATTTTAGTACTTGAAAATTTAACAACTTGTTCTGCATGTGACTGGGGAAATTTTCTCCGTGTGTTTAAAAACTGCTTGGATACAACACATGCCAAGTGGAAACCTTTTGGAAAACTTCCTCCCACATAAAGAACATAAGAAAAGCCATGCTGGATCAGACCAGAAGTACATCTAATCTAGCATTCCATCCACTAGATGGCAAACCAAGTACCTACAGGTTCCCTCAAGCAGGATGGGTGTTAGACTTCCTCATGCCCACGTTCCCAAGCAAGAAAGTAGCACACAGCCAGCAAGGATAGTAGCCAGTGATAGCCTCCTCCCTCATGAATCTGTCCAGTGCATTTTTAAAACCATCTGGATTCATGGCCATCACCACGTTCCATGGCAGTGAATTCCATAGTTTAATTATAACCTGTGTGAAACAGTACTTCCTTTTCTCTGACTTAAACCTCTCACCAGTCAGGTTCAAGTGTTATGCGGGAGAGAGAAATGGCCCCCTCTACTTTCTCCACATCATGCATTTTTAAAAAACTGCTCTCCTATATCTTCCTTTACTCACCTTATTTCTAAGTTGAACAGTCCCATAGCCACTCCTCATAGCCACTCCTCATAGGAAGAGCCTCATTAGAGGCTTCAGCCCTCTGATAATTTTTTTAATGCCCTCTGTACTTTTCCCAACTCAACATCCTTTTTCACGTGAGCACTGAAGCATTGTATAAAATCTTGGCAATTCTATTTTCTATTCCATTCCTAACTATACCTAGCATGGAATTTGTCTTCAAAGCAGATGAGCACTTTGAACACATTTTCATCAAGCTGTTCACCACTACCCCAAGATCCCTTTCTTGTTCAGTGACTTCAGGTGGTGTTTCATTCATATGGCTAGCCCACACACAGCTGATAACTAAGTCTTTTTCTGGTGGAAATTCCATTGTTGATTGGGAAGGAAGGATTGTTATTGCTGCTACAATGCTCAGCAAACACCATGACTGCATGCTCAGAGGCTTGTATATAGAACTCGTATGTGATATTCTGTCTGGAAAAAGGGTTGGAATCATGCTGCAGGCACATGCACAATATAAGGGCTTTACTGTTAAAGCTGGTCTAAAATATTTTTAAGTAAAAAACGGTTTATTAGCATCTGTGTGATGGGAGCAAGCATTTTGCAAAGGAATGGATGGGGTCATAATATTAAACAATGTATACTATATGACTGAGGGCTCAGGGCACAACACTAGCATATTTGGGAAAGTTCTCAATGAGGCCTTAAGAAAACCCTTGCCTCTTGAGGGTCCTTTTGGTGATTTTAGACAGAAATGGGCGATGTGGTGTTGTTAGAGCCATTCCTTTCATCCCTTAACGAAACATAAGGGTGCTTCCAGGGACTTGGCCATAAGATTTTTCATTCTTCCACAGTTCATACATCAGGAAAAGAGGCCCATCATCTGCCACTTGTCAAGAGAAATGGTATAGCAGAAACAGTCATAGTCCTCATTGAACACTTCAATTTGTGGAACAAGTCTTAGGTCAGCATTGTGTTATATCCTTGCAGTGTTTCTTTGCCTTTAAAGTTTCATGTCAGAAAGAAGATTGCCATGTCTTGCTTACCCTATCAATGCATTCTGGGTACCTTAGTTGGGTTTATGTGCACTTGTCTGTTATTTCCCTAGTGACCTTATTTGGGTGATACATTGGATCTCTGTCTTCAGCTGTTCTTTATTTTGCAGTTGTAAACCCTGACCCTCGTCCTGTAAGAAAGAATTCATCATATGTGTGTGGTCAGCACAACCTTAGCTTGAGGTCATCACCACACCTTGTGATAGTAAATCTTGCAAGCAGCGTAACAGTATTCAAACTGTAGGTTGCAATAAATCACATAAAAGGTTCTCTAATGTGAATTTTTGATTTAACTTTTCTGCTTGTTGTTTAGTGAAGTTGTGTCCGACCCATCGCTACCCCATGGCCACATTCCTTCATGATCTTCTGTCCTCCACCATCCCCCGGAGTCCACTTAAGCTCACACCAACTGCTTCATGGACTCCATCTAGCCACCTCATTCTCTGCCATCCCCTTCTTCTTTTGCCATCTATTGTTCCCAGCATTAGGCTCTTCTCCAGTGAGTCCTTCCTTCACATTAGGTGGCCAAAGTATTTGAGTTTCATCTTCAGTATCTGGCCTTCTACCAAGCAGTTAGGGTTGATCTCTAAGACTGACTGGTTTAATCTCCTTGCAGTCCAAGGGACTCACAGGAGTCTTCTCCAGTACCACAATT